TATATGAAAAAAATTAAAATAAATTAATCCAATTAAATACTGGAATTAATAAAATACACCAAAATAACTTTAGAATATACCCATAATGCACCATTGAGTAGTATATAAAAAAGTCGAGAAAAAAACGTATTTTATGTGGCCTGATGATTGCGTTTAGCATAAAAAGTCTTTTTTCTGAGTATATATATATATATATATATATATATATATATATATATATATATATATATATATATATATATATATGAAGATATATAGTTTAAGGTGTTCTATATTTATGGGATAAAGTGCTCAATAGAGCGTATGTAAATATAAATATAAAAATGAACACTGAAGTCAACACTCAGACTCGACAAGTTGTTTCATGATATATGCAATCGTCAGGCTGTTTGACGATTGTGTCTCGCATGAAACAGCATCTTAGAACCCCTTCTACCGTCCATCAGCATAGATTTTACTAACCCCAGAATAGTGACTACTTGCTCCTTCACGGAGAAACGTTTTCCGCTGACATGAAGTGGAAAGAGTATCTGCTAAGTCTGCAGATAGGGAGGTTTGTTCTCTGTCGAGCTAGACAATCTTCCTCGCCAGAATCTATATTAAGTCTACCATTCGTCCTCGCTCTGAATATTGCTGCCACATCTCCTGCTATATATTTAGAAAATGTTTAGAAAATCCAATGAAGAATCTGCAATATTACTTGTCCTGATCTGTCATCTCGGGTTCAGTGATTTTCCCCTCTCCGTAACGTAGGTTCCTGTGGCTTTTCTACATATACTCACATGATAATTATTATGATGAACTTTCCTCTATGGTAATCTAGACTTTATGAATTTAAGTGCAGTACTAGATTGGCGGCAAGGTCTCATCATTTTACAGTTGAAATGGTTAGATATAACCGTAAGTTCTATGCTAACAGTTTCTTCTCTGGCACTTTTCGCTTGTGGAACTTTCCTCTTGTTTCTTGCTTCACAGGCAACTTTGACTATCAAAATTTAAATTCAATGTCAGTCGTTGTCTTCTGTCCTCTTAATTTTTGTTCTTAATACAAGAACAACAAATCTCTACTTGATAGCATATATTTCTCCCATTCATTAATACTCAGCAACCCCCTACCGTCTTAGTGGCTTTATTGCCTTTCTTGAGGTTAAGTGATTGAAAAAATATGATAAAACTGAGAATTAAATTAAATAATAGAATTCTACGTGATTTATATTGATTTATTGAAAATTGTTAGTAACAAAGTAGATGAACAAATAAAGAAATTGATGAAAGAAAGAAAAAAGAAAAGTGAACAAAGAAAGTAGAAGAAAGAAAAAAGAAAGATTGAAGAAAAGAAAGCACGGGAGGAAAGAAAAAGAAGAAAGAAAAAGAGGAAAGATAAAAAAAGGAGAAGATAGAAAAAGAGGTAAAAGAAAAGAAAGAAAAAATATGAGGAAAGGAAACGAAGAAAAAAAAGAAAGAAAGAAAAAAGATAAAAGAAAAAGAAGAAAGAAAGAAGAAGAAAGAAAGGAGAAAAATGTAGAAGAAAGAAAGAATATGAGGAAAAGAAGAAAGAAAAAGAAGTAAAAGAAAAGAAAGAAAGAATATGAGGAAAGGAAATGAAAAAAGAAAAAAGAAAGAAAGAAATAAAAAAGAAAAAAGAAAAAAGAAGAAAAAAGAAAGAAAAAAGAGGAGGAAAAAAAAAGAAAAGGACAAAATAAGAAAGAAAGAAGAAGAAGAAAAGAAAAAAGAAGAAAGAAAAAAGTAGGGGAAAGACAGAATATGAAGAAAATTAGAAAGAAAAAAAGAAAGAATGAAAAAAGAGAAAGAAAGGAAAAAGATGTAGAAAGAAGAAGAAGAGGAAGAAAGAAAGAAAGGAAAAGAAATATAAAGAAAAAGAAAGAAAGAAGACGAAGAAAGAAAAACGAATATGAGGAAAAAGAAGAAAGAGAAAAGTAGAAAGAATGAAGAAGAAAAAGAAATAAAAAAAAGATGGGAAAGAAAAAGAAAGAAAAAGAAAAGAAGAAAGAAAAAAGGAAAAAGAAAGAAATAAAAGAAAGAATAGAGGATGGTCTATTAACAATGTTTGTGTTCACCAAAAATAAAAAAAAAAAAAAAATCGAAAAAGAAGCTCGACTTCGGCATTTATGCCTGAAAAGTTTTTAAACAATTTCAAATTTTTTAAAAATGATAGTGCTCCATACCAAGAGATAAAGCCTTAATAGTAACAAAATCATCTTTCACGGATATGTACCCTCCGTTTCAAGTAACTGATAAATGAATTTTATTTTTATTTTTTCATATATGATTGAATGGCTAATTAATAAATAATTAATAATTAATAGTTAATTAATAAGTGATTTGAATCTTTAATTAAAAACAATTATGAAAACCTTTGTAAATTTGATATGTTTTTCGATTTTAGTTTAGCCTAATCGGAAATCTCAGAGAATTAGAGAAACCTGGAGATGCCCAGGATATTTTAAATTCTATGTTCTACTTTTGAGACGATTGGCATCAATCTCTTATAATAAAACTATGACTAATACCAGCATGTAATTCATACCAGATTTTAATTTTAGTTCCGGATGTCTCGCTTTAACTAAACTCCTCACGGAAACATGGCTCATTGGATAAAAGCGTTGGTTGAATCTAGTGACTTGACCCAAAGACATGTAAGTTCAACACTTGGAGATTTGAGTTTAAAGGAGAAAACTGAGATATCTGGAAGAGGCATGGCACGTGGAAGTAGGCGAAATAAATTTCGAAATTCAAATCACCTGCAGAAGGCCGGGGTGTACCACGGAAGAAACGTCGTGAAAATGGCAACAAAGAAGAGGACAACACTCCGAATAGTACAGTATTTATATTAGTCGGACTATTGTCCTCATCTTTGTCGCAGAATTGCAATATGAGCACTGGTAAAAAATAGTTGCTGAAAACATTAGGTTTATAATATCCAGAAATTCACACCCAGTTCAAGTTCCAAAGAGGAACTCTAATCGGAACAGCAGAGAAGTCAGAAGGGACTCACGTCATGTCCGTAAGAAAATGCCTGAAGTCGAGATGCTAGGTCAGGATCGATTAGATGGCAGACTAGTCTTTCGATTTTGTCAAGAATCTCGAAATATAGAGTAAGGACACCAGGACAGATATGGCATGAATAGCCATTGCCAGTGAGCGAAATAAATGGTTCAGTTCGAAATTCCAACCATCTGAAGAAAGCCGGAGCGTACAACGGCCGAAACGTTGTGACAAATATGGGTACATAATACCTCATCTCAGAAATATAGACAGACTCCGAATAGTGTAAGTAATTTTTGTATTATTTACGTCGGGTATTGAACTCACAAGTAACTGGATCCAAGCAACGCTTTTATCCACTGGGCCATGTGGACTAGAATAATCTACCGCGGTGCAAAAAATAAAGTGTTCAGATCGAAATTCAAATGAACAAGAAGGCCGGAGCGTACAAGGGCCGAAACGTTGTGGATATAGCAATAAAGATGAGGACAACTGTCCGATGAGACCTAGCTGCCAATCAAGTAGCACGCATGCAGACAGCTGCCATGAAAATATTTGCAGAAAAGACTGACGGGCCTAACGTCATGTCGGTGAGAAAATGGCTGAAGTCGAGATGCTAAGTCAGGATCGATTACATGGCAGACTAGTCTTTAGATTTTGTCAAGAATCTCGAAATATAGACTAAGGACACCAGACCAGATATGGCAGCAATAGCCAATGCCAGGATGAATGGTAAATTTCTAAATGTCCAATACGGAATCTGTTTGTCTCGCCCGATACAGGGAAACAACCTTCTCAGTAGTAAAGCAATTGATTCAATATAATCTTTCCAATTCATGTCATTTGAAAAAATAAACACAAAATCGCTCTTCTGGAGGTTAGCATTAGCCATACCGATGGCAGGCAGAATAGCTTCTCTGTGGTGATTCAGTGAAAGCAGTATTATTTTAGACACGTTGAAATTTCCAAATTATTGTTTACCCCTGTTAACCATTGATTGGAAGTCTTTTTCGGGAGCAGTTTACAGGATTATTTCGTCATATCATTCGATCTTCCTGCTAAAACAGGAGTAAATGGTTGTGTCGTCTGCATAAATGCCTAGTTGGGAACAGATTTCGTATATACATTATCAAATTACTGGTAATGGACGCCAACCCTCCTTCCATGTTCCAATGACACGCAATGGACGATATATTTGATATTACCACATTCACATAGATTTATGATAGCCACTGTATTTTTCCTTTTCTGTTAACAGGCAAACTCCTTGTGACTGTTATCATCTGTAACAGTTAGATGAAAAATTGAAAAGTTGGCATTTCTAGTCAAAAGACGGTTGCAGGTCGTGGAAAGTTGTGTTCGGTTTTTAAGCGAAGCCTCATGAGGAAGCCATATTCCCTTTCTGCAAAATGTCTCACTTCGATTCAGATGTACTTGAAGAGTTGAACAGGGTACATTATATTGTTTGTGCCAAATCTCCGGGGATTTGACGTGTATCCAGTTCAATAGACTTTTCAAATGTTCATTCGCAGTGGGTCGTCTTACAGAGCGTGGCTTGTCGGATATGTCACAGTCACCAATTCTGAAAGCTCTCAAACCAGAGTATATATATATATATATATATATATATATATATATATATATATATATATATATATATTTATATATATCGTTACATTTATTATTAATTTAAACCGTCACATATTTTCCGTCTATATAAATTCAAAAGTGTTAGTCAGAAAAGAAACAAATTGTTCACTATATACGAGGCGTATAAATGTTTATATATATATATATATATATATATATATATATATATATATATATATATATATATATATAAACACTTTTACTCCATATATAGTGCACAATTTGTTTCCTTTCTGCCGTCTGTATGAATTCAAAAGGTTAATCAGAAAGGAAACAAATTATGCACTATACACGATGAGTATAAATGTTATATATATATATATATATATATATATATATATATATATATATATATATATAAGCACTTTTTAATCCTCCTTTTGAATTCATACAGACGACAGGATTAAACCATACATACGATGAGTATATATATATATATATATATATATATATATATATAGCATTTTGAAATCATACAGACGGCAAATATGTGGCGTTTAAAATTAATAATAAATTTGGAAGTTAGACTGTAAAAAGCAGCATGAACGGAACACGAATTCGAAATTATTTCTCATAGGCCGATATAGACGAGATGATAACTTAATTCTAGACAGCTTCGTATCATTCAAGCTTTGATTCGCCTGGGTGGGTTGATTAATAATTCATAACCTTGAAATACGTAATTACTTTCCGATCAACCTAATAAAAAAGATAATAAACTAATTCTAGACGTAGTTTCGTATCATTCAAACTTGATTCTGCCTTGGTTGGTTAGCCAATAACGTAATTGAAATACGTCATTACTTTCCGAACAACCTAATAGAAGAGATGATAAACTAATTCTAGACGTAGGTTCGTATCATTCAAACTTGATTCTGCCTTGGTTGGTTAGCCAATAGCGTAATTGAAATACGTCATTACTTTCCGAACAGCCTCATAGAAGAGATGATAAACTAATTCTAGACGTAGTTTTGTATCATTCAAACTTGATTCTGCCTTGGTTGGTTAGCCAATAGCGTAATTGAAATACGTCATTACTTTCCGAACAACCTAATAGAAGAGATGATAAACTAATTCTAGACGTAGTTTCGTATCATTCAAACTTGATTCTGCCTTGGTTGGTTAGCCAATAGCGTAATTGAAATACGTCAATACTTTCCGAACAACCTAATAGAAGAGATGATAAACTAAATCTAGACGTAGTTTCGTATCATTCAAACTTGATTCTGACTTGGTTGTTTAGCCAATAGCGTAATTGAAATACGTCATTAATTTCCGAACAACCTAATAGAAGAGATGATAAACTAATTCTAGACGTAGTTTCGTATCATTCAAACTTGATTCTGCCTTGGTTGGTTAGCAAATAGCGTAATTGAAATACGTCATTACTTTCCGAACAACCTAATAGAAGAGATGATAAACTAATTCTAGACGTAGTTTGGTATCATTCAAACTTGATTCTGCCTTGGTTGGTTAGCCAATAGCGTAATTGAAATACGTCATTACTTTCCGAACAACCTAATAGAAGAGATGATAAACTAATTCTAGACGTAGTTTCGTATCATTCAAACTTGATTCTGTCTTGGTTGGTTAGCCAATAGCGTAATTGAAATACGTCATTACTTTCCGAACAACCTAATAGAAGAGATGATAAACCAATTCTAGACGTAGTTTCGTATCATTCAAACTTGATTCTGCCTTGGTTGGTTAGCCAATAGCGTAATTGAAATACGTCATTACTTTCCGAACAACCTAATAGAAGAGATGATAAACTAATTCTAGACGTAGTTTCGTATCATTCAAACTTGATTCTGCCTTGGTTGGTTAGCCAATAGCGTAATTGAAATACTTTCCAAACAACCTAATAGAAGAGATGATAAACTAATTCCGTAGAATTCAAACTTGATTCTGCCTAGCCAATAGCGTAATTGAAATACGTCATTAAACAACCTAATTGATAAACTTCTAGACGTAGTTTCGTATCATTCAAACTTGATTCTGCCTTGGTTGGTTAGCCAATAGCGTATAATTGAAATACGTCATTACTTTCCGAACAACCTAATAGAAGAGATGATAAACTAATTCTAGACGTAGTTTCGTATCATTCAAACTTGATTCTGCCTTGGTTGGTTAGCCAATAGCGTAATTGAAATACGTCATTTCTTTCCGAACAACCTAATAGAAGAGATGATAAACTAATTCTAGACGTAGTTTCGTATCATTCAAACTTGATTCTGCCTTGGTTGGTTAGCCAATAGCGTAAATTGAAATACGTCATTACTTTCCGAACAACCTAATAGAAGAGATGATAAACTAATTCTAGACGTAGTTTCGTATCATTCAAACTTGATTCTGCCTTGGTTGGTTAGCCAATAGCGTAATTGAAATACGTCATTAGACTTTCCGAACAACCTAATAGAAGAGATGATAAACTAATTCTAGACGTAGTTTCGTATCATTCAAACTTGATTCTGCCTTGATTGGTTAGCCAATAGCGTAATTGAAATACGTCATTACTTTCCGAACAACCTAATAGAAGAGATGATAAACTAATTCTAGACGTAGTTTCGTATCATTCAAACTTGATTCTGCCTTGGTTGGTTAGCCAATAGCGTAATTGAAATACGTCATTACTTTCCGAACAACCTAATAGAAGAGATGATAAACTAATTCTAGACGTAGTTTCGTATCATTCAAACTTGATTCTGCCTTGGTTGGTTAGCCAATAGCGTAATTGAAATACGTCATTACTTTCCGAACAACCTAATAGAAGAGATGATAAACTAATTCTAGACGTAGTTTCGTATCATTCAAACTTGATTCTGCCTTGGTTGGTTAGCCAAT